CGTTAGACACTGAATTTGTTTTTTCTTTGTATAGGAGATTCTTAAGCGACTGACCGGAGTATTGGAAGAATCGTATCACGATAAATCGATTGTCACGCGTTTAATGCACGCGAGACACCTTCGTTTAATTTTATTTTCGTGAATATCGGTCGTCCTCATTTGAATAAATGATTTCCCACCCGTTACTCGGTAGTACACGAATTAATGATACTAGAACGCTGTTTTCTCACTACTGAAACCGTGGGATTTATGCATAATTGATATTTAGAGAGATTAAAATTTTAATTTGGATAACAAACCATCGATATCGATAACTGTCAATTTCTTTTACATTAATAATCACATGAGTATTTATTTTCGTATAACTTATTACTAGTATTCCCTCGTGCATTTTCTCGTTCAACAATTTTTTCCCGAAAAAATAATAAATTCCTCTCAATCCTCTTTGAGCGAGAATTTCTCAAATTTTTAGACACTCACTTCATGCACAATTTAATTATACAACGAAATCTTAAATATCAGAAAAAAAGAAAACCACGCACCAATCTCTGATTATTTGAATAATTTAATTACTTCCTCGCAGCTATCAATTTTAAATACAACAGCTTGAAGTCATCATTACCACGACATTCAAATGCAAAAGGTTAAATAATTATTTTTACGCAAACACTTACCGTTGACTTGCAATTTACTCCTTGTATTAATACGCTAAAACAAGAAATATATACGGAATTCGGTAATTTAAATTGTGTCACGGTCCGTACAGACAACTGGCATTGAATTTAGATCGCTGACACGGTGGTCCTTTCGTTATGCGTTGTCTAGTTAACCGTGAGGTTCGATTACGCCGATAATGATTTAACGCGCGGTACGCATCGTGCGAGTATTCGATTCGAACTGAGCCTAGAAACGTTGGGAGCCGGAACGAAACGTTTGATGTTTACTAACAAACCCTATAGATCATCAGCGGCGGAATCATTTCCAACGATATTCTCGTTCTCATGGTTAGCCCGCCATTGAAAGGTTAATTAGTCCGGAACAAATTGATCTGATAAAGGTCTGAACGCTCGAGTAGGTTTGGTTCTGTTTTTGTTTTTTCGAAATATTATTTTTATCCTTTTTGTTTCGAATACCCTTAGATCAGTGGTTCCCAACCAGAAGAGATGCGTTTGGGGCGAATGCATGCGGAAACAATGATTTTTCAATAATAATTAATTATTTTTGTTTTGTTCCAAAAGAATGTTTATATTTCTTTATAATTTTTATTTGAATTATCAGAAGAAAACATAATGGAAACCATTTAGGAGGATGGATTTATTTATTCGAAGGAAACGTTTATTGAAATGTACATATTTATTGAAAATACGATTTCCTCCCTTTACTATTCTGTTAACATATTGTTTACCGGTCACAAGTAAACACGTTTTTGCATTTGCATTAACTGTTTCAATTTTTGAAACGCAGAGCAATATAGAATATTGCAAAAGCAATATATTTATCCTTTGCACTCGAAAGTTTTTCACTCGGAATATTCAATATCTTCTGATCAGATGCAGATGATGTTTTTCTGTTAACTAATTTAACAGTAATTTACAAATAAAGTAAGGAACAAAGGTATTTTATTTTAATTTTTCATATTAGATTATACAAACTTTAATATTATTATTATATCAAATCCTATCATTTTGCTGTATTAAATCCAATGGTGACTGAAAGTCATCTCTAGACTGCAAAGGGTTAAAAGTGATATAAAAGACATGTCCAAAATTTCGTTTCAATCCATTATGTAATTGTAAGACGACAATATATAATATATATATATATATATTTTATATTTTTAAGTATATTGAAGTTTATTTAAATTGTTTCATTTCCATATTTATGGGATAGCTTTTCCGTAAAATTGCCGGTCAACAATGTGTTAAGAGCAAAATATCGAATAAAATTGTATCTCACAGAACATTTGAATTTGAATGAATAAATTATGAAGATAATATGATGCTGTTTATCGAGACGAAGGAGTTTCATCGAAAAATTTCAGTGTCGTTGGAAATCATCTTTTTTCTACGTCGCCCTCGTTAACCCTTTGCACTCGACAGGTGACTCACACTCACGATTAGATTTGATATTGCAAAATTATAAAATTCAACGTTCAATATTGTGTATAATGTAATTATACATGAAATATAATAAAATAGTTCTATCCATTGGTTCTTATACTATTTTCATTTGACAGAGTTAACAATTCAATCAATATTTCATTAGGAAATACTGAATACACTCTGTCAGTCAAATGTTTGGAACCGACACATCGATTAAAAGAAAAAGTACCATTTTTTGGAAACAGCTTTTATTGGCGAACTTTTGCGTATGATAAAGGAACATGGACATATGTGTATTAATCAAATATAAAGATACATAATTTTTGTTGTTTTATTTTATATATTTATGAATACACAATTTTTCATTTGTGACGTTCCACATTAAGTGGTCTCAAAATTTTTGATTGGCAGTGTATGTAGCGGAAAAATGTTCGACTGTGAAGGGTTAATAAACGCAATCACTGTAGCGAGTTTCTTTTGTCGCGGGTTACATGCAGATTATGCTCCTGTAGAGGGCAATCGGATAAAAATAGTTGCCACGAGGAACATGTAGAATAAAAGGGTTAATAAAAATTGAACGAAGAGCGTTTGCCTTTTATGAAGCGTCAATTAATCTCAACTAGATTGTTATTAACAAAGTCTACGTATTCGTGTAAAGCAGAATATTAACTCGTCTGCATCGTTAGCATATACAGTATACGAAGGGCAGGCATTGTTTAATTATTATTAACCCTTTGCCCTATGATTTCTTTCTCAACTGTGACCGATACAACTACTTTGCCATTAATAATTGATTGAAAAAGGAGAAAAAGGCTAAATCCTAATGAAATATCAATGATGTTTTCCAAATCTAACATTTATATCATTACACAAAAAATAAAGAACATAATTATTCTGTTTGAACATTTTATACGTCAATCCGTTGTATAAAATTTAATATTGAATATATAATTTTATAATTTCACTAGAGTCAAAACGGCTCCCGAGTGCAAGACGTTGTTATATGGCAAAGGGTTAATTTTATTGCAGTTTTATATTTTACGCAATCATGTTTCCCCATAAATGCATCAAATGGCTAGTGACATCGATCGTGCACCGAACAGAAAATACATTGTCGTTTAACATTAAATGACAGGATGATACACGTCAGATCGATTCTAGAAAAATATGTTTCGAATATTCCGATATTTACACGTTGATTTTGAATGTGCGTTGTTATCTTTTGAAAACGAAACTAAGTCGTAATCCCTGTTTCAATGCTCCATGCCCTGAAACATTTCATCCCAGTATTTTCACTGCTACCTTTATTTTAGATATTAAGTAAAAATATATATATATTTTTGTTCCTTAATCCTTTTCGTAATTAAAACATAAATACGCGCAGGGTTATTTTAAATAAAATTCAATCAAATCGAAGAAAAACCAAGCTGGTTATATTTGTAGAAGTATTTTAATGAAAATGGCAGTTTGAAGCGGTTTTAAGGGTGGTCTCCGACAATAAATATAATCGCAGCTGTAATATGAATACTGTGAGGCTAAATCATTAATCATTATTTCTTATATCATTTACCATTTTTATGAAAGAATAAGTATTAACCCTTTGCGGTAGGATTTAATCATGAAAAATTGTGCATGATAAAAGGATTTCACTTTTATTAAAAAAAGCAATATGTTTCATTTTATGATTTACAGATTTTGTTAATTACAAGAATATTAATTAAAAGTAATCCAGCAAGGTACTACTAAATATTATGTCAATTTATTCTTAATTGGGAACTATACAAATTTTATGCATGTAAAAACATGTTACCTATAACTGTTTAGTCGCACAACTAGTGTAGTTTGACACTGTACGGTTTGTCACGAAAAATTAATGACTAGCTGTACACGTGATTTTACTGTAAAGGGTTAAGTATCTTGCTGCAAAAGTTTCGTAAATCTCCCAACACGAGAATTTCTTATAAATTTCTTATTAAAGTTTTCATAAAATTTCTTAGGATAGAACGTATTGGCATGGTACAGTTGAAAATATATTAATGTTGGAAAAGAATATTTCGAAAAACAATTAAACTAGTAATCAATTAGTTCAAACTTATTGGTGAATGTTCTTATAGTTTTCCGAAACTGTTGCAGTATTGATCCATCCATTAGACAAATCGATTAACTCCACAAAACAAGAAGCACAGAAAATTGATGCAATAGTTATATATTGATTTTTAAAATGTCCTTTAAAATGCAAAATCAAATACTCATAGAATGAATTTTACTCGATTAACACAGATACAGCTTCAATCTAACAAACATGTACAATATATACAATAGTATATCCATCAAATAAATTTTGATTAATATTGCAATTTTTCCATGACCAAAAGACTTTTTATTATTTCGTGGTACCAACCCCAGTCATAATGAAATTTATTTTATACATAAAAAGTTAATAACCGATGACGCGCTGTAATGATAAAATCTGAAAAAATTCAAAAAGTGGAGTTATTCGATGGCCAATGACCGGCCCAAGTATTGGGCCATCCCATAAATAATACCTTTCTTTATATTTCTTTTATTTTCAAAAATAAAGATAAACAAAAGTTTGTTCAAAGTAATTATAATGTATAGATAGACAATTTATAGATAATGAAGCAGAATACGTGTTAGGCTACAAACAAGTTTGTTCATCTTTATTTTTAAGAATAAAAGAAATATGAAAAAAACACATTATTTATGGAGTGACCCAATACAAAACGCTCGGCGGTGTACGCGTTGAATTAAAATTGAAAATGTTCGTCTTCTATTATATGGTGCTTTATTCGCAGCTAGTGATATGAACGCGAACGTAAACGTTCTGGGCTCTATAGTTACCGCCATCAAAGGCCTGGTAATCGGCTACCAGAGTGGTTACAGCACAGAGACGAGCAGAATGACGAAGAACGACGTTGGCATGGCCTTCAGCTACCGAGACGTCGACTTTCACTTTCGATGCAATTCGATACCCCACGAGTTTGGACTATCCGTTTTATACAAAGGTGAAACATTTTCGTTACAATTTTAACTTTCTTCTGATCCGATCATCCAATACTCCATCCTGTTAGATTCTTTTATCATAACTCCTCGAGTACTGAATACTCCCTGCCGAAACATTCCATGCGGATAGAGTATCTTTTTGCTCATCTGAAGATCGATGGATTATATTAATTTATACAATTAATTAAGTTATTAAGATTGTAATTGTAATTCCTGAGTTTTACGAAGTTGAATGATGATAAGGAACGCGTGTATTAATATTATATACTTATAATTATCACCATGGCACGTGTGAGATTGAAAAGAAAAATGCATATATGCGTGCATAGCACTTAAAGGGTTAAATGTGTAGTTTCTTGTTACTAGAATATCGATTTAATACAATTCTGTCAAATTGAACCGGCAAGGGAACGTGTCGAATTAATCCTCGTCGGTTTTTGTGGGATTCTGGTAGAAAATAGGATTTATAAAAGAACTATTCATTCTATTGGTCTCTTTTATTTTAAACGTGAAGCTTGTTACTGGAACATCGATCTTATGCAATTTTATCTAAAATATTGGCAAAGGAACATGTTGAACTGACATTCATCGATTTTTATGAAATTCTGGTAGTGGATCATTCTATTAGTTTATTTTATTTTAAATGTGTAATTTAGTATTATTAAATTATCGATTTTTTACAATTCTATCTAATGTTCTTAACTGACAAAGAAATATGTCGGGCTGACACTCATCGAATTTTATGACAGTTTTGGTAAACAATATTATTTATGACAAATTATTCATTGTGTTAGTCTCTTTTATTTCCAATATAAAGCTTCTTGTATTGGAATATAGATTTTATGCAGTTTTATCTAAAATATTGGCAAGGGAACACGTCGAACTGACGTTCATGGATTTCCCTGGAATTTTGGTAGAAAATAGTATTTATCAAATTATTTGACAGGTATTTCTTTAGCGATTCTTATTTGAATCGAAATAGCCTGCAATGTTCGGAGTGAGGATCATCTTGGATCGAATATTGCGAAAATACTATAGTTAGTCACTTACAAAAGAAACGTCATATAAATTATCATTTCCAGAGCTGATCAATTACTTCTCGAAACATTCCTCTTACACATTAGTTCGTCGACGCAAAATAACAAATTTATTGTATCGAGTACAAAGGACAAAATTAATTGGTACACTTAATTAGAACAACTACTGGTGGATCGAAAGTCAAATGATTTACTTCATAAGCAGGAACAATCTATCGAAAACGATTGACGAAATCAGATCACTTTTTACTAACATAACCGTTTCATGACAATTTTGTTCAAATAGTACCTTGACACAATGAAGAAATCTGTAATTTATTGTCGATTATTTACGGGTGAATTTAGAATAGCAGATTGCTAGAAGTTTCAAGTATTCGAAGGCTTGGAAGTTTTCGGAGGTCTTTAAAGTGAATCGTAAAGCACACTTGTAGAGTTCAAGGTCTGGTCCCTAGAAAGTTCGTGTTTGAAAACCGATTTCCTCGACAACACGTCTATAAGTAATTCCTCGAGGGGGAGGGATACGTAGGTACAACAGCAACGGCAGACTGAATGGTTCTTTGAATTCGTCGATTTCCGGCTAGCCGACGAAAACGGAACTGGATCCTCTCGCTGGCAATATGTTCTCGAACTTTGGTTCCTGCGCGGCTTAAATGTTACGAATGTCGGACAAGCGGAAGGGTGGGACCCTCTCAAAGGGAATTTCTTGTCAGAGGAAATGCAAAGGGGATTGCAATTTCATTAAATGGTATATCGCGGATATACACTGCACATTGATACCACGCTGCTGATTAACACTATTCAATCGTTCTTTATTTATATTTTGCTCGAAGAATATATTTCCTGTTAATCGTTAGATTGCTGCATTAGTAGATTAGATTTAGGTATTTCATTTTAACCAGCCTGAGAATCAAAATAATGAAAAATAGTAATGAGGGAGGTAAAGAAAAATTGGTATATTTAACTTTAACCATCCTGAGAATTGAAATACTAAAAAATAATAAACAGAAAGGTAATACAAAATTTATGTATTTAATTTTAACTCATCTGATAATGAAAATAGTAAAAAATAATGATGAGAAGGGTGATAACAAATTTGTATATTTAACTTTTTAACTGTCTACTGCTTCGTTATTATTTTTTAATTATTTCAATTGTAGGGTTGGTTAGATTCTTAAGTTGTTACATTAAATTTCTCACTGCCGTCCTCACTTCCATAGAAAGCTATTAATTATGAAAATAATTTTCATGCTCGTATTAAAGATGTTAATCTGCGCACTGTAAATTTTGTTTCAAAATTGGAATACGGATTAAAAGTTCTTATCTTGCGAGTAACTTATATATATCTTCAATCTTTATCTTTCGCTCGATAATCACTTTCAAAGGACAACATCTTTAATCCTGGCGGATTTTAATTTTACGAAGTACGGATTGAAAAGTTCGTGCTTTCCATAACGTTCAGAGGGAACTTTCCTGATGATTAGTTTATGAAATATTTACTTGAAAATGAAAACTAAAATTATACCCAATGCATAATGATGAACTACATTACTATTTCGTTTCGTATCAAATATCATTTTTAATATTCCAATTCTTGTATAATTTTAATGTTTAAAATTTTCTATCTTTTTTAATATTTCAATTCTTGTATTATTTCTAGTATTTTTCAATTAAATATTGTTTACTTTTAAACTTTGTGTCTTCAATCCAATGTTATTTTCCTGAATATATTAACATAGCAAAAAGTTTGTATTAAAATTACATTGATCTTATCTGTTCCTCCCTTAATTTATTTTGAAAGTCCAAAATCAATATCTGTTAACAGTTCGATAAATTGGTATGTATTTATATGTATATAACAAGAAATTGATTATTATTGGTTAGAAGCCACGCATGATCAATAATTCTGTTTTGTGGGTAATACCTATCGGAAACGATTAAAACGTTAATCAACAGCCCTAAACTCCCTTCTAATTATCGATTCCGGGAAACTGAATTAATTAACAAGTTACCCGTTGCTTACGAAAGGATCGAAAACGAACGGAGCACGATATCGTAGTGGATAATCTTGCCCCTCGCCGGTGATGCGTTTATTCACAACGGATTATCGGTTTTAATCGATAAATATTGAACCTGGACCGTTGCTGCTTCAGGCGAAGAAAGAATAACACTACACCCCTTGTTTGCTTGTATTTCTGAACGAGGTAGACGAGGAAACGCAATTTTCCCCTATTATCTTGTTATCCATGCCAATACGATATAAAAACAATTACTCAAATCCATCGTGAATTCACAAACGATCTTTATTTATTAATTTCTGTAGAATCTCTAGATAAATTGTTGAATTACTTGCACATTATACGGACTACCTTTTGTTTTTAACTTTAATCAGGCTTTAAGGTCTTCTTCGACGCAAATCGAGATTAATTTTTGCTGTGATTTTTTTTAAAAGGGCGGTTGAAGGTTAATAAATAAAATACTAATAATAATAGTAATAATAATGAAATATTAATAATGTGTTATAATATTAAATAAATACTAACCCAGACCTAACCCAAATGACTGACCAGCAGGACCTTGAGTAAAGAAACATAGGTGGTTCATATAATATGTAAATACCAAATTTTCATAGTTTATTTGCAGAAATAACAACATGCAATGTACATTCAATATTTTGCGCGACTCGTTAATTTTATCAAACGTCAATGGGATTAGAAATGTATAAGATATAATAGAAATTATAATCAATTCTGTCCGTTATTTGATTTTTCAATCAATAAAAATCTACATATGCATGAACAGCTGTTATCCACTAACACCAGTTTCATTCGTCCTTCACCTGTGAAGCGGTAAAACAAATTCTTTTATTTATGTATACATTTTACTGCCTCCGTTAAGTTTCCAATATAGGTCACCGCATGTTGTACAATTTAAAAAATTTCTTTTTATATTCCTGTTTATCCTTCATCTCTAAAACTAATCAAACTTTCAATTTATCTATTTATCTTTCTGTTACAGACGTTTCCTACTTTTACACACACAAAAAAAATATAAAAAATCCCTATTCGTAATTAAAAATAGAACACGAAAGTGATAAATGAATTTCCTCGGAAAATCAAAAGTTTCTTCGTGTCATATGTTTACAAGAGGTTTATATTTAACCTTTACATAACACTATTAATATTTCTCTTACAATATTGACTTTACGTAATTAATCTCGCGTAGTATCACGCAATATTAATTATGCATTTATAACGCTGACAGTCAGAAGTTTATCATCCTCTGTCGATATTTCAATACAGATCAGCAGGTTTTTCCAACTCAAAAAACCGTCTCTCCAGCACTCTAACCCAATCAATGAAAACCGACCCACGTTCGCGTGAACACCTGTTACCCACTGACACCAATTCCATTCGTCCCTCACCTCTAAAATGCCTAATCGAATTCTTTTATTTTCACCGGGCACCGTATCTCATCAACTGGATCCGATATTGCGTTCAAAAATGCATTCGCGGTTCGGTGCCACATCTGAATCCTCTAGAACCGAACCGGATCGATCGGACCCGGGTATCGCGCGTACTGACAAAACGACGAAACGATTCGATTCCCCGTATCGCGGCAACTTTTCACCGTCGAGACAGGGTAATTTCGATTCGCGGGGGATGACGACGCGCAGGCACAAAGCCCCAGCGTGTGCATAATTTCCGCGCGGCCATTTTGCCCCGGGGCCACAGCTCTGTCGCTGTCACTCTCCCCGCGAATCGATATTCGTAATTACGGTCGGGAAACTTATTCCGGAATTAGTAGGTGGCAACGTAAATAAATTTGGTTGCAATTGTATATATAGTTTAACCCCTTCTCCCACACAGGAGCCGTTTATTTTGAAAGTGGCTTATGTCAATTTTTTCAGGAAATCAAATTAATCGTTATAATAGTTATAACTTTATATACTCCGTTTATGCTTTATTGGGTTTTTTACCTTTTTTAAGTGAACTTAAGCGACTTTCAAAATAAACTACATTTCACTCCTCCTTTTCTTTCTCCTTTCTCTTTCCCTCAATTTGTCGTAACCGCCCTAATACCCTCTCGTCCATCCTTCCACTTACTCCCTTTCTTTAATATCCAGTTAGACCCGTAATAAAATTCTTCAGGTGAATTCGACGAATCTAAATGTTATTTTTTTATTTATTTACTTTTGTCCTTTATTTGTATTTGTCTTTAACTTTCAATGTAAACGTAGGTGTAAAATAAGCAACGAATTAATTTCCTTTTATATTAAACTATTAACGGTAAATAGTTATAACAAGTGCAACTGCGAAGTTAAATCGTAGTAAATGGGTTAATACTATTTAGGAGCATCCATGAATTGCTAAAATCACTATTAAGTAATACATTAAATAAAATAATGAAATAAAGGGAATGGTACAAGCAATAAAAGAATGAAAGATGGATGTACAGGGTTCAAGCATGACCCATCACAGCCCTTTAGAGAATTGCTTCGGTACTCCAAAGATTAAATGATATTGTTTCTCCGTCGCGGCATGCATGTTTCATAATCCAGAGGTCTACCGCGGAAGGAAATGTAATTACGATCCCATCAAGATGAAAATAAACGAGAAGGAAACGGGCGAAAATAATCCAGGATTAACGGCCGCGGCGGGACGTGAAATCCCGTTTTTTTTCCCGGCCGTTCTCTTTTCCTCGTTTTCGTTTCCCTGCACGCGCGCCCATATTCGAGTTGAGCTGCGAATTTGCGCGCGAGGAAACGGACACGCTGAGGGAATCTTTTTGCACGACGGAAGTTTCGATGTATTTTCGTTCTGGCGATTTTGAAAATTGCTATGGTAGCTTCGGATTCTTTGTTTTGCTTTTGGCGAAAGAAAGGTAACTGTTTGCAGTAAAAACGATGGATTGTTTTGTTTTCAGTTAAACGTTACATCGTTGCTAAGATTAAATGGTTTTTATTATCCATAATTTAATGAGACTTGTTTTTTTGGTACCAGAAGGTCATAGTTAGTTGTAGCATGCTGTTTTTAAATATTTAGTTCAGTGATAAATGATTTACGTTGCTTTTTAAAATATATGATGTTTAGTTGAACATACTTTTCGTGTTTTATACAATTTTGTGCTTTAGTTAAAATTAATAAGTAGTACATTTCATAATTAATTAGATATGGGTTATCGTGATCGAGCATTTTTAATACTACTGTCATCCAGTGATATTAATTTATGTTAATGTAATTTTGATGAAATCAAAAGTCTCGTTGACTCCAATCAAATGTTTCACTACAAGTTGACAGAGGATCAAACATTTATGCAATCTCGGGAATCTGATCTACGATATTCCCTCTTATTTCCATTTTTTTTTCTTTCATCATTAAAACGCGTAAAAACGCGAACGGTATCATGTGCATGAAAATTGCTTGAAAACTGAAAAATTTCATATTCACATATCCCTTTGCTCACCATTGCAAACTTTTCTCTTTTTTGGTGTAATTATATAATGAGAATTTCCATTCGTCATTTTTACAAACATTTAACCAGAATTTTTTAGATGAAAACTTTGAAGGTATTACATTTGCATAAATAAATTTCAAAAACTTGAAAAATTATAATTCTTGAAATGAAAATTTTTGAAAAAATTATAATTTTTTCAATGAAGATTTTTGAAAAAATTATTTGTATATATAAACACGTACCGATAAAGCATTTACACACTTTTTAAAAAGGTCGCAACAGTTAACTGGTTAAAATTTGGAATTTGAATGAATAACGGCAATCTGCGTGTAAGTATTTGAAACAACGTGTAAAACGTTTATTCCAGATTGATAAACTCGAGAAGATTATTCCACGATGTAGTGATGGATTCGTAAGTTCGAATGAAGATGTATAATTGTACGAGTGTTCGTTGTGGGGGTTTCCAATTACGGTTCACGACTGTAGCGTTCGTTGCCGCGTGAGCTGTAAACGAACACCCAATTAAATTCGTACAATACGCGTGTTACGCAATTAACTAGACTCCTAATTAACGACACGCGCTGGATAACTGTACATTTTATGTTAGATAAACAACGATCTTCGATTTTTCTCCGTGGGATGTAAATGAAAGCCAGAAGAAGAGACATTTTGTTGTCAGACATTTTCAGTAAATTCCCCGGGAAATTCAAATACCTTTGTAGAAACTAACCATTAACAGTCGAAAAGCGTCAATGTAGGGATATGCAAAGAATTTAAGCAAGTAAATATCTATAATTTATAGCTAAATAAACCAGTTTAAATATATTATTTAAGTTTTCATTTTTATAAATGTTTTAGAAGCTTTCGTGAAACTTTAAGGGCGAGTATTATAGAGAAAGCTCTCAACCGTTAAGATATAAAAATCGAAGAAATATGATTTACAGAAAGATACTATTTAGAAAGGAGAAAGTAGTGATTGAGATTAATATATAATAAAATATAAATTATGATGGAAAATTATGTAAATGGTAACAAATATGTAAAAAGATTGTAATTATATTTGAATACTAACACGATAAATAGATTCACACGACATATTAGAAAGTTATGTCAACGCAATTGTTACAATACCAATAGAATTAGTCATATTCAAACATTTGAAAAATGCCATAGAAGAATAATTCTATTACACATTCCTCTTTTATTTATAGTAAACAATCAACTAAACCAAACGCTGGTCTCGTAAAACTTTCTAATTTTTCACAAACATTCAGTCATCGTATTTTACTTCATCTCATACATAACAATTAATTAATTCTACTATTTAACCCTAAACGTACCCGGACCGATCAAATAACCGGTTTTCAAATTTGATAAAAAATTTTCGTTAACCCATGTATCTTTATATCAGTTCTTATATTGTCCGTCTTTCCTTTTGTCTCTATTTTTACTAAGAAAAATGTACCGTTTAATTTATTTACTTTCATTTTATAACCAGTTATTTGGCCGGTTACGGTAGGAATCTCTAATAACAAGTATATTTATACAACAATAATTATTTACAAACGAATAACAAAATTTCTTTGACTTTCTCAAGTAAACGACGATTGGGATGTCGCGATGAACGGTCTGATGGCTAAAAATGGCGGGATGCAGGACTATACGGTTGGTGCTGCTGCGAAATGCAACATCGACGACAGATCAACGTTTCGTTTCAAGTTCAACACGGATTTCCAGCTGGGAATGAGCTTGCAGCAGAAGTTCGATGATCGCATTACATTATCTCTCTCCTGTAACGTCGACTGCACGAACGTGAAAGCTGGCGGTCACAAAGTCGGGTTCGCCCTTGAGATCGAAGGGTGAAAGATCGCGTTATATTAACTTTCTAACGATCTCTTTTTATAAAACGCCATTTGGTGTTCGCCATTTTAGAAGACGCTTGTCCTGTTGCATTTTATTGTGATTGTCGATATTTAAACGTCTGTATTATATTGATATTAAATTATTATTCTTACCTAGCTGTCTTTGTGCTTCTGTGAATAGTATCTGCAGATGTGTCGAATGTTCCTTCAATAAAAATTCCAGGAGTAGTTCTCACAGAAATGTTCCCGGTTTAAAGGTGCTCCGAGAATGGATGAAAGTTCTATTCTCAGAGGGGATGTGCGATATGTAGAAAAGCAAGGTAAATATTGTTCCAATAACTACAGAACTAAGTTAAGTTTATATAAATATTTAATACTAGATTTAATATAATTATTTATATTAAATATTTATTATATTTAATATTTTTAATATTTATATTATAGTATAAATATGTTGTCCTGATAGCTTTAACTGGTTAGTTATTGACACATTTAAATACCTTAAATAGTTGATCGCAAGTTCATAATTTGGAGGAAGAAAGAAACTATAAGATAACAAAACATGTTGTCTTATAATTTATAAAGACATAGTGAGTCCTAAATATAAAATTTTTTGCGAAAAAGAAGAAGTTATCTTATATTGATAATTATTTGCAAAAATAATAGTATATAGAACATTTTTCGATATAGGAACATAATTTTCTAATTTTAACAATTACATTATTTCTAATAAATGAAAACTCTTCAATTGTTTTTGGTCAATGATAGAGTGTTTTCGAACAGTAGCATATGTAGAACTATTATTAATTGTACTTTGAATAATAAAACGAACAATTTAAATTCCTATTAAATATATATTTAATATAAATGTCTACCTAAACATCTATTTCTCATTAACATTAAAAGCAAACCGGAAACGATGCAAATCATTTACATTTCGCCAATTATACAAATAGATTTCCGTAACACAAATGTTAATTAACCATCACTTACGATTCTGATATTGTTAGTGCTTTAAAATTAATGAAAATAGATATTCGTCGCAAAAATGTGTGGTTTACCGTCACGATCGAAATTAATTAAACGGGAGCTGTGTAACCAATGATGTTACCGTGGAAGCTGTGCATTCTATGAAAATTCAATTTTCACTGACATGTATCATTTATAAATTAATGCATGATTATCCTGTATAATATTTCAAGCAGAAACAGAATATCGACATCATCCTGACGCCAATTTGCGCTGAATTGATACAGATACAGAATATTGTACGATTTCGTACCGCGCCCGGTGTTCGTATTACAAAATGGCCGTGCCCTGGTACTATTACGTTAAGTGATATGACATTAAGTTATCTCATAGTTTCGAATTCTCGTTAAACTGCGGCGGTTCGTGGCGGTTCAAACAGCTTGAAAATCGTTCAAGTTACCCGAGCTCCTGGGATTTGAATTTTTCACGAATTCTCGGAGCTGTCGGCACGCGCTAGAAGTTTGCCAACGAGCGTTAACTATGAAGTGGCACTATTCATCGTTGGCGAACATTCTGAAGGAAATCTGGCGGCACGCTATGAATCTCCTGTCTCTTGTTAACGTCCCTAATACATACACTTGTCCATCAAATGCAGTTGACGCGATCTATGAATCACACAACATTATCGAAACATCTGTAGCAGCAGGTAAAACAGCATTTGATATTCAACGATGCAATTTTGATTACAATTCTTCGGGAAACAGTAAATGTTGACGGAATAAAATCATTTGTTTTATAGTTAGAGGAAAGTATGTTGAGAACAAAAGATTATGTTAAATTATCGTATTTTCATATTATCATATTGTTATATTATTAATTAATTATCTGAGACAATTAGACTTTTATTAATCCCACTGCTCCTTACTTTGATAAACTGGTTTTCGTTCGTTCCTAGTGAGTCTTCGTACAAGTTAAAATTGTTGAATTTCTTTCCACTCATTAAAATTAATTGGATACTTACACTTTTCATTAAGACCCTACTTAATTATAAATATTATAAAATCCCATTGATCTGACGTTTCAACGAAGTTGATATTTTATCGCATTTATTCATTGATACTAAACATCCCTTGATCAGTATCGTTATAGATTCTCTTGTAAACTTTGTATCGTTATATTTAAATAATTTTGTATAATAATTTAATACTAGTAGAGGCATTCCTTACAACGTTATAATACACTTGTTATCAGACGTACTTTCATAAAAGTGTCTGAAGTTATTATACAGAAAAGATCAATAAATATTGTAATTACAATCAATAAAGCATTTAATAAAAGTGTAAATTTTTATATTTTATATCTTCTTCAATATCTACTATAATATTATATATGTTACATTTTATCCTACTAGATCCCATTATCACACACGTGCCGAACAAACTCCAGTTCCCATCATTTCACGTTATTTGCTATTTTTCTCTGCAATCAAGAAAACAGAAATCAATTTCACTCTCTTCAATATTTGCCAATGCTGAGTCAAAGTGGAAGAGTATAACGAAAGCAAACATGTAGAAGAAAATTTCCCTGAAAGTTAAGTATTTTAATCTTAGCGTGCACATGGACTTTAATATTAATATATGAATATAATATTCTTTATCTTCCTCGATATCGTGCAATTTATTTCATTGAGCATTTCATAAAGACTAAAATATTGTGATGTACGTAACGGAGTATCTTTTAATAATCTCTCTTAATTGCCTGTCTTTATAATGTATACTATCATCGGAGTAATACATGTTTTCAATTTTCTTTTCTTTCGATTTTAAATGAAATGTACACGAAAATAAACGACTCCATCGTTTTTAATAAAACCTTGTTGCGACGCTTCGTGCATGTCACAAGCTGGAAGTCCATCAAGCAGCGTTTCGAACTATGAATAACGGCCTAGCCGGAAATTAACGAAACCGGAACGTTATTGATCTTTTTGCAATACGCGCACTTCCATTATAAACGAAGAAGTAGTTTGCCCAAGCTTTTCAGCAGCACAGATGAAAATTTGCGAACTTAAAGGGGATCGCTCCTCAACCTCCTTTTCTAATGAGGAGAATAATGAGAAACAGTCAGAGTGCAGTTGGTGTTTAATTCTGCAGTTTACTTAATAACGAAGTCGAAGGAAACTGAAAATTCAAGGAAACGTGCTCGTCACATAAAATTGGCTACGGCGATACCTCTAACAATTCATTTCATCGCAAAGTATAGTATTATTCAAACAAAATGTAGAATGACAGAGAAAAAATATGATTAAAGAGAAATTAAAAATTTTGACAAGTTCTTTAATTTATATGAAAATATCTAATTGTCGAAATAAAATGTAAAAGTAATATTTCCTACTAACTGGAAATTCATGTGACAACAATTTTTAATGTATATTGTATTTACTGAATAAATAAAGATAAGGATTGTAAAAGTGTTTTTCAATAACCATAAAGTTTTAAGCATAGTAGATTTTATGAATTATTATGGAACAAGAGGATAGTATATAAAATCTTAAACGTGATATAATATCAGTTTCGTGTCTGCTCTTAGACTGAATATCGACAACTTGCCAATAAACATTCTCATTGAGGTATAATGTCTTTTTATCTTTCCTTTCGTTCAAATGTTCACCCGTGACCTTTTAGCCGTCTCTTGTTCTAATTCGGATCAAATTCCCGTTCAGAGTTCTTATTTTGCAAATATTTAAATTATGAAGGTGCTCTTCTGAAAGATTTTAAATTAAAATAAATTTGTACACATACAAGACTAGGATATCTTGAAGAAAATTGGAAGTAAGTGACTCTAATTGCTCTAATTATTTTAGTGTCAACTGAACTAACTCACCTACGAACACAGAGAATGCATACAAGAACTAAATAAAATTTCATTATGTAAAAGACATTATATAATTGGAATCTAGGATGGAATAGCAACCCAAAAAGTATTCTGGCTCAGCCTGTAGTCGAAGAAAAAAAAATAAGTAGAAAAAAAGGCACTGCCAAGGATGGAAGATTCGGATAAATGGCACCGTCGCCTTTAAATCAGTTCATTCGGCTAGGACGAAGGTTAGCTTCACTCTGCTGGCCGCCAAGACGGTTTTCTCGTGGGCATTTCTTTAGCTAAATGGATTATCTGAACTCGTCAGAGGGGCTTGCCTGTGCCAGTTAAAAACAGTTACCGTGGTTGGCTTTATACGTACAATAAAGACCCGAAGCACCTTGGGGTTTCTCTAGTATAAAGTAAGAAGGACGCAAACCACAGCCAAGGGGTTACGACATGGGGAATAAATTGCACCGTCGTCTTTTAATCAGTTCATTCGGTTAAGGTGCCTTTAGATATCGCTTGACCCGTATCAGAACTACTTGTCCTGAAGAATTTAATGAAAAACCAAGAAATTCCATGATCTTTCTATATTTAGATTTACTTTAAACGATATAGATTACTAACAAGAAAACTAATATTCCATTACTCAATAGTGTTAAATGACATTTATATTTGTCGGACTGTATTTGAAATCTTCACGTGTCTGGCACATGAGTTAAGAGGTTATAAGAGGATCTATTTTTATTTATATTAATGAAGAAAGGAAGCTTATTTATAGATATTAAATAGATAATATAATTTAGATTTTTTCAAATGCTGTTGAAATTTGGCGGTATGGACACGAAACATTTATAGCATTGTTACATAGATTTTCGTGTTTACGTCAGTTTAAAGTGATGAATCGCATTATGTAGTTGAATAAATAAGAAGCATTGTTGTTTAATTTTACGTTGAACAATTACAAAGAAATGAGCCAGTAAAGTGGAAGCTTCTTTTAAAACGTCGTTTAGCGGAAAGTCACTATAGTTGCGTCTCGAGAGACTGCATAGCGAGAAGCCGTTACAATGGCGCGTAGTATCTAAAACAGTGATTCTTAACGTGGGCGGTAGTGTCCTCTAGAAGGCGTTTGAAGCATTCAAGGGGTGTTCGATGCCAAAGTACCAACAGGGGGCCGTTAGAGGGAACAAAGGTTGGAGAGCAGTATATTTTGTAGCGCTTCGTTGTTTGCGGGGGAAGAACTTATTGCGTTGCAATACGATATTGAGCTGAGAGCAAACTTTACTAGTTCGTACCGAGAATTCTTTTTGCGATAGAAAATTTCAGAACATCGATTCGCTTTCCAGAATGTTTCTAAGGAAATTTTAATCACTTTTTCTATATCAAAGAAATGGTATTTATTAATTATTTAAATATGAAGATTCATTATTTGGATTTATTAATAATGACAAAGACGTTATTATGATAGATGTTGATAAATTAGAAAATAAATGTAATCATTTCATTTTAAGAATTATGTACTAAGAAATAATAACGTGTATACGTTGTGTCTTATTTCGTATGAAATTGGTCGATAGATTATACTAACAAGAAATAAACAAACGAACATCGGAGGATGAACATTAAAAATTCTCCAAGGGAAAAAACAATGCAGTCTCAAAAGGGCTTGAAAATCTTCAAGTTAAAGACTTTTAATGCCACCAAAAACCCTTAAAGGCAGCTTAACCATTACCATTTATAAACGGCGTACTAAAAAGTCACTGACACAAACATATTAAAAAAAATGTTCTCAGCACTAGGGTAGTTAATATTAGGTTTACGGACACATATTGTACAAATTATACCATTGTTTCTAGAAAAATTGATGTTCGTTCATTTAGACCTTGGAAATTAAAGGTTTAAAAATAGATCAGGATATGTATTCGTGTAATTGCGTCAATCAAAATCGACATGACCATTTACCGAACCTGTTAAAATACTAGATTATATGTTATGTATAGTTATGTGATGTATAGCGACATCGAACTCCGATATCTAAATTCGAAAGCTCCAAATGAATAATTTAATTATTCAAATAACTAGAGATTGATATGTAGTTTTTTCTAGTATTTACGATTATGACGCATAACTCAGCATTTTTGTAAGAAAGGTTTTCAAAGGTTAAAAAATTCTCAACCACAAAGTTATAGTTACAAACAAAATCATCGCAGGTTCAATACATATACGTCGAATTATTTGTCCATCATTAACACTAGAACTACCGAGCACTTAAACCGTCTTTTTAAAATGTCTTTACAAAAGCTAAAAGCGTGAAGTTATTAACATTTCAGTTTAGGTATTACCTAATCAGTTTCTTTAGTCATTTTTCAAAGAGGTATTCGTACCTTTTCAGTAATCATAGAAGAAAAAATTAAGGAATGGGTCATTTTTACCCATCTGGTAGTTCTAGTGTTAAAGTATCCCATTTTATAGGAAAGTTTCAGCAAAAATTGCCCGATGCGGATGCGCTGATAGAACTAAACACGCGTCAAATTGACGTGTTCCATAAACCTAGCGCTAATTTCATGCCCGACGCCCTAATTTCTCGCAGACAACAGACCAATTTTGATTGAGTCGGTATTGCTCAGAATATCCGTCGGCCAACATTTCTTGCCAATGCTCTCCGGCGGATAGCTTTCATCATGGCATTCGGGCGTCGCAGACGATGCAACGGGAAATTAATAAGGCCGTAGAAATGGCCGGCGTGAATCATGACTCACCCTGTGCCGCGGAACCGCTGGCATGCTGCTGGTCCTTCCGCGATATTGCCTTGGACCCGAACCACGGGATCCAGACGTTAAACCGGCCGGACCAGCTGGACTCGTTGGACTCGGGCCACCGGGGCTTGTACCCGGGCTCAAGTGAGAAGATGAGGACACTGCCCCTGGACTGATCGCCGGCGTCCTCGTGGGACTCCTCGGTGAAGGTGAGAGGTGACCCCATGGACCAGCTTCTGCTTGCAGGAATCTATCGTTTACAGAAGGATTTTTATTACGAACTAAAAATTATGGAATGAAATGAAAATTTGGGGATTGGCCATTAGAAAGACAAAGTAACTTGTTGTGTTATTATTATTTTTTTGATAAATCAGCGTGTGATAGATTATAGTTTATGGTTATAGATTTTTTGACAGTTCAGTAAGTTATAAATTATAGTTTGTAATTGTAGGTGTTTTGGAAGATAAGTAAGTTGTAGATTATAGTATGTAGTTATACATTTTTTGTCAGTTCGGTAAGTTATAAATTATAGTTAATAATTATAGGTTTTTTGAAAAACATGTAAGTTGTAGATTATATCTGATCGATGCATAAATTACCTCTTGGTCCTTTAAATGAAAAATCTAATGAATTATAGGAAAGTAAAAAATGAAAGAAATGTTTGTAATTTCCAATGAATACTCATATTTAGCTGTTACTTTTTATACAGTTACTGAACATGTGTCACTATGTTTTTTCAGACGATGTACCATGATAAATATAATGTAAAATTATAGGTTTCACCATTGATACATAGACAATTAAGTTAATCTAAGATAATTGTTTAATATAAATTTTGAAGACGTAAACAGCTGTTTGTATTTTTTATTTTGTAAATGACAATTTTGAAAGAACTGTCCTTGGTCTTTCTAGGGTTAAATGTAATATGTAACTTAAGAATAACTTCGATAAAACATTTTTCCTTACTCTATATATGTTTTTTAATGTAAGCTGGTGATACAGTAGTGAAAGTTTTTGGAAATTAGGAACAGGGACGATGAGAGAATGTTTTGAATTTTGTGATACTTTAAATGATGCAACTACTGAATAAAACTAATTATTAGCTAATTAAATGAGAACAAACTAATATAATGAAAAGATGCAACTACTTATTGTTTCAATACGTTCAATGTACGAGTTTTCACTGATAAAATGAAAAATCTCATTCATATCGTTTCTATCATTTGAAAGTATCTTATTCGATAGATATTTCATTTAGATACTTTTTTCATTACTATACTTTATACTTTTGATACCTTTTTTAATTATATATTTTTAATACTTTTTTTAATTACATATTTTCGATACTTTTTTAAAAATTTTAGCTGTTACTTCTGCATGTTATAAAAGTAAAAACTGTGATTTCGTATGTTCATTTGCATACGTAAAATAATTGAAATTTTAAACTACAAAAATGACCGTCAACTATGAATTTTTACAATGAAAAATAATAGAAAACATGATGGAAAAACTTTTTATAGAACAATAAGATACACTTTGCTTCACGTGGAAAAAATTGTTATATTTATTTACAGAAGAGTGCGAAATTGAGATGTATTTATGTAAAAAAGTGTACACAAGAATAATACGAAAACTTTCGAACTAATTTGAACTTCAGCTACGCAGAAGTGATTGATGGAGTAATTACGTAAATGAATGCGTCCGTATTGCCGTATAAAAAGTTTAGATTAAAAAGTAATATAGCTGAGCAAACAACTGAATCCGAAAACTTAACTGTGTAATACTTTGACGTAAAAACGGCCCCACTATTTTCCTTCGGGGAAGAAAAAAATTATATGAAACATTCCTTGCAACCTGAATGAAATATATTACGCTATAAATAAACTCTTTAACATAAAAGTATCTGATCACTTGTTTGCTAAACAATGAACTTTGCTCTTTTTTCAAAAGAAAAAAAACAATGTAAACCAATATTGTACCACGTACGTGTGTAGATTTGATAAATTTAGCTGATGGAAGATGATATAGCAACATGGAACAATAGCCCGTAGTATTTTCTATTTTTTTTTGTTTCTTCTAGCATTTGAATACCGTACAAGTGATCAAATAGTTTTAGATAGAATAGTTCTGTATTAGAACTGAACACTATACGAATTATTTCAAGTAAATATTTATTTATCAATTTCTATTAATTAAATATTTTTACATACATTTGTTCTGAAAATAAATTAAATATGTTATAAACATTGAAATTTAAAGATTTCTTGTGCTTTGTATATAACACGTGGAAAATTACAAAATACATTTTAGATATACATACGTGTACAATTGTAAATTACATTTCAGATTGAAGTTAATACTATTATTTTGCAATTGTTTTGCACATCAAATGCAATCTTATTTGAATCAAATTAATTCTATCTTTCACCTCTTTTTCTCATCGGTTATCACACTACATCATGATTCACCGAATAATTTAGTTTCTTAATTCATTCGCGGAAACATATATTAAGTTAGAAATGCACTAGCAAGAAACTGATGACATTCTTTATTAAATAGCAACTTTCAAACGTGTTTCCACTTTTATTTTATTTTATTTTATTACTGACGCAGGCAAACTGAATTTGCCATCAGAAATCTCAGATCTGTTTACACATATCACGGATATTATATCAATTCTATATTGATTCTGCAACTGTTATTTTTTGGTTCTTGAAATAGTTACGAACAACCGAAATGAAGAACCGAAAAATAACGGTTACAGAACCGGCAAAATGAACGGTTTTAAAATTTGATTCAGAACTTTACGTTCTCTTTCACTCACTTAACTTTACATCGATTCCTACATTGTTTGATTAATCGGGTTTTCAATTTCATCTTTCATTCTGTTCCTGTTTGCAATAAAACAAATTTATCGTCTAACTTGTTTACCTTTATTGTATAATCAAAAGAACCAATATACCGAATAACAGTTATGACTTATTTCAGTCTTTCATAACTAACGTAAAAGCGTCAGTATTTGGCCAGTTAAGAAAAATTTTCTGCGTGAATAATAATAAACGCATACTTCTTTATTAAATGAAGAGACTCTATGCGTAAAAACGTAGTTCGAACTTCTTACATTATGTAACAAAGCCAGCTTCTTTGAGACAGTTATATTACCCAAATTTTATATTTTTGAAAATTCAATACTTGCCCCAGAAGTTGACCATCTTTAAAAACAAGAAAACTAGTAATTAACTGGTAGTTAGTAGTTGACCATTTATAATAAAACCAAAAACACTAAAGGTGATTACTTTAATATCGTTTATTTGAAACGATAACGACAAATTACAAGTAAAAGGACAAACAAAAAAAAGTTAATTTCATATAAAATCGTATTCAGAAACAGAGTAAATATTGGGTAGGTAGATGCTGCAGCGTATCTATCGCGCTTTTATTATAAGATTATTACTTTTGTAAAGATTATTTTTTACGTTGTTCTGAAAAATGGTTAACTACTGATACCAGGTCAATTACAGGTGCCTTTACCTTATTTCAAAAAATGAAACCAATTTCATAACTGTTTCCAACCCTTGACTCAAACAAGTTGTGCCACGTGGACTCGCGTGCTCACCTGTGCAAGTCTGGGGTTGGTCTGGCTACAGCTATGCTCGAGCTGCGTCGTCTAGAAGGGGTCGGCGATTTCGGCCCGTCGACGGCCGCGTGACCTTGCGAGCCCATCAACGAAGTGCGGTGCAGACGAACTTCGACCTCGCTGCTTCGCCTCTGAAATGCCCGCTTGCTCCATCGTCTGGCCTTCGGGTCGGCGTTAGGGTTGTCCTGCTGCCTGGAACGTTATGACCATGACTTTACATAAAAAGTGAATGATTGCTTCCTGCGCCGCGTCTGACGAATCAGAAATTTTTTGGTTGCCTGCTAAAAGGGTTTTCGTGTTCAAGAAAGTATTCTCGTTTGAAGAGGTCGTTTTTAGAAGATTATTTAATTTTATGTTAGATTATATTGGAAGGTAGTGCGGTTGGGAACTCAGGATTTTATGGGGATGTATTTACTTAGATTTATATTTTATGTAGAGTGATGAAGTTATTAAATGTCGAGTGTAATGCTTCATTTTGTGTGGTTGCCATGGTATCTTAATAAGTGAACCGACTTGTTTGAAATTAAGAAGTTAAGTTGTTTTTAGGAAAATGAGTTTAATAGTCTGTGTTTCGTTATTGAGAAATTCAAACTTGGGAATTGGTATTTTATGTTTGTAACGGTCTTTAATAATTTGTGTCTTTCAAAGTAAATGTTTGATTTGAGAGGAACAAGTTTGAACGTTTGCATTTTGTGTGTCATAAAATCGAGCTTAAAAATTCGCCAGCATGCGTGCAATAGTTTTCACGAAAAATGTAAATGGTGAACGACGAAACGTCAGTTTCTTTTTAAATAAACTTTTGCTACAAATGAAAGTGCAATAGAAACAATTTTATCCTCTTGTTTAAATTTGTTCTCATTTATAACTATTATAAAAAATGGGTATCATAGGTAAGTAAATGTTTTTCTGTATTATGCACTCAGTATTAACGGTTGCTCACTTGTTATACTTTTTATTATCGGTATAGATATGGTTGACAAATGTGAAAAATTAATAGTAACCTATTAAATAGGGATGACGAATTAATCCCTTATTTAAATTCAACTCCAGTTCTCAGTATTTCCTTGTTTTCATGTTTATTCGACAAACGATTCTTGCATTTCAATAAATTATAATATCCACACTACTGTAAATCATGTATTGCTGCCAACTGTTCACCGTTTTAATTTAATTTATGTCGAATTACGGATGTTCGCGCTTAAAAGACCACTCGGTTAACACTTCAATAATGCAAGTGTGTATTTAGAAAGGACTTGAAAACTAATTCATTGTCATTTGTAACCGAAATTATTAAATTTTATAGAATAATTAAAATAACGTCAATAATCCAATAGATTCAATCAAATAATTTAATCAATGAACGTCATTGATTAAAAATCTTTCGGCAAAAACATTTATACGTAACTAAATAATAATGAACGCTGCACACTATTCAGTGAATAGTAATTCTGATTAAAAAACAAAAGTCTATAAAAATTGAGCTTCGCAGAGTGTAATATTAGAATAATATATTATTTAAAAGTTTTCTGGTGAACAATTGCATTTTTGCTGACATTTTCAGTTCAAAACAACTCTTTGAATAATGGAGACGCATTCGTTAAAACAAATGAAATGGAGTTCATTGCGGTTGGTATAACAATTCCTGCAGCATGTATAATGTATAAACGTTGCAAATATGCATAATTTACAACTCGCAATGTATTTCTCGAAAAACAGTTTATCAAGAGTGGGTGTAAAATAAACACGCGATGCATCAAGATGTAGCTTTATTTATTTGTATTACTCGATACTTCGTCGCTATGTATTCATAACAATGAAAATTCTATTGCAGTTTCCAAAGATAAACATACAAAGCTTACATGCTGAGAAAATATAACAAAATGAATAAAATCAAACGAACAGCTCGATAAATAACAATATTAGCAATTAAAATTGTTTTATTCAAAATATTTAAAATTCATTTCGGAGCTTAGTATATAAAAAATTAATTTAATTGCAAATCATGTAATCATTGTTTGTAACAATCTTCCCCTAATTCATGTGAGTCACAATAAAATGAATCGTCACAGTTTATGTTTCAAATCGTGGCCCAAGATTGTTAAAAATTTTTATTAAGGAAAGAAAAAGTTATCAAAATGCATCAATTAAAAGAGTTCTAACAGAAAGTAATAAACATAAATATTATTCAGCTCGCCCGAACAGAGATAATAAATAAAATTACGAGTATGTAAAATAAACGAATACCATACAATAAGCATAAAACTATTTTATTTTTCAACAAATTACGAACAACACTGGATGCCTTATTAGTTCCAAACAAATGAAAAAATTGAATCTCGCGAATTTACACTCGAATAGAGAAAATTCCCTGGAAAACGTAACATTTAATTTCAACCTCAATCAATTCTCATGCGAGTTTTTTTTATTATAATTCTTTTTTAACAAACTCCCGTCGATCTATGACGCGTTGCAATACCGTTCCGAAGAGTATGAGACACAGATATTTTTTTTGCTTTGCGTTGCGCGCGATAATACGACTCGCATCGTCGAACGAGGACCGGCGGGAAAGGAGTGGATTAAATCGACTAATTAATACAAAAGTTCAAGTTATTCGATAAGCATACACTCGGCCGAGTTTACCTTCATTAACCCCTTAACCTCTTCGTGCTCGTGTATATCATGAGATCGACGAATTCACGAAGAGCAATATTAACCCTTTCGAGACGAACTTTTTTGAGGAAAATAAAAGAGGCAAGTTATATTTATAATACTTTCCAGTTGACGAATTTATTCGAAATAACACGATCAAACAACAGTAACTGTTGACTGTAACTGTAACAGTACAGTAAATGTCCGTAAATATAGTATTAATAAACGTTATTATTTATTTAGTATCTATGTAAATAAGAAAATAAATAATTCATTGTTGAAAGAATTATGTATCATTTTGATTTTTAAGAACTATGCACTCGTCGAACGCAGTTAACTGATTAAGGGATTAAATTAACGGTGCGCGTGCGTTCAGTGGCCTGCTTTCCGGTGTCTCCTTCGAGATCTGTGTCGCGTCTCTATCGAGTCGGCGAGAAATCGCTTTAGAACCGTAAACCCGAATCCGGGAGAGGACTTCCGCTCGAGATGGCTTCGTTCCGCATAAAAGAGACCGTTCACCGGCGCACACTTGTACGAATTCGGTTTCAAGCCCGAATACCATCGTGGAACGTGATTTTGTGATAAAATAGTAATGTTCATTGACGTGTTCACCACGCCTTCCTTCCTGTTCTTTAATTTACGGGCGAGCACTTCACCCGCCATTCGTAATTCCCGCTAAAAGCCGTCTCAATGGCCGCCCGCGGAGATTCTCCCCGTAATGGCGCGCGACGTTATTCGGGAACTGTTCTCTTGTTGAATTATGCTATTGACCGAAAGTTTCGAATCGCTCCGCAAATTGATGCTAACGGAAGTATGGCTTGTCGACACTTTAGCTACCGAAAGCCAATTAGGAGTCTCCGGTGTTCGTGATAGATTCAATGTGGGTTTAATTCAGTTTCGGTAGCGCATACTATCACTTGAGAATCTGGGATGATCTTGTTGTGTGTTGGGGCTTGGGAAAGAGGATACGATGTAAAGTTATTTATGGTTTTTAATGGGTTTGTTAAAAGGTTATAGAGTATTGTTCTGTTTGTCCTTTATTTCAGCAATCGATGTTAGATTTAATTTCTTGATGATAAATTAAATTTTTTTAGAAAAAAAGAAGTTGTTTTAACTGAAGGGACGCGAGATAATGTGAAGCAATGTACTCATCAAATGATTAATCTCGAACTTTGGAATATTGATGCACATATAAGACCTTCACCTTTGTGTAGACTAATTAATACAAAATAATATTCATGGCAGTATATTAAGCGAACAAAAGCTCGTTAGTATGCCTGAGATAGTTACAAGAAGATTGCAAAATTAATTATTGTATCGAAAAGGGAGTAATGTAAAGTAAATGAAGTAAATACGTTGAATAAATTTGAATATCATTTAAAATTATGTAGCATTAACAGTGAATTAAAAAAGTTCAATTGAGAGGAGAAATTAATTTAATAATTTCATTAAAAATCAGCATGTAATCTTATTGCTTTGTTTAATCATAAATATAATTCCAAATATATAAATATTAATGGGAAAGAAATTGAGAAATTAAACAATTATAATAAATTTCATACTTTTTATTTACATTCGCACATAATTAATACGTTTCATCCTGAGCAGTATCATTTGCAAGGACCATTATTTTGAATTTTGCATGAAGAATACCAGATTACTTTTGTTCTCATTTCCATTTAAATTCGTGACGCATAACACAACGGTCAGTGAGTTAATGAGATTTTTATGTTACACGTTTTCAACATTTTCTAAAGAACTTCCGTAACTGACGAACATTTTAAACGCAATTGTAACCGCAGAGGTTTTTATCGAAGTAAGTGCTGAAAATACTAAAAAAAATACTAAATTAATTTTATCATTAAAATAATGAATTGTAACATAAATACGTTCGGATATATTAAATATATTTTTATATTATTAGTTTCATGAAACAGTGAAATAACAGGACTGCATTTGAACTAATCATGAGCTAATCGATCATAAGTCATAATTAGATTCTTAAAATTGAAACTTTATACTATAGTACTTAGACTTATTATAGATCTTTATACTATAACACTTACAATTAGAATTTTATATCATAAGACTTTGAATAGGAACTTTATATTATAATACTTAGAATTATTATATCACGTTACACTATAATAATTAGAATTAGAACTTTATACAATAATACTTAAAATCCAGACTTTACAATTACTATAATACTTACAATTAGAACACGTCTATACTCGCAACCGAACATACCAGCGTCACCTAACACACCTATCCCCCTAATTCCACAAGATCCCAATTTCCATGGGCGATTACCCACGAAAATTACGTGGTTCAAAGTTCACGTATCCAAGGATAACGAACTTAAAACGGCGGATCAGGAAATTTGTCCGCTCTCGATCGGAGCTCAATTATAGTCAGCTCTATTTCCTCTGAAGACGGTATCGATTTACCATCAGAATCTTAATGCAGCACTAAACCGATTATAATTATATTTCCATGGAATAATTGCTATGTAATTACCGACGCGGATGAAGAGAGCTTCCGGCTGTCGGATTTGTTCGAGCCGGACTGAAATAATTCTGAGTAATAGGTCACCGGTATTGGTCCTCCTTTTCAAGAAGACTCATTAAAACTTGCCCGGGACGCGTTCTCTACTGGCTCGTCCCAGTGTCTGAAAGTCGACGCACAAGTGGCGCGTGTAATTTTTGCACGGAGAAGATTAAACGGTCCGGATCCGACATATTTTCTTCCTCCTTCTGAGACCAACTTTTCATATCTTCCCTTTCTTTTTTTCTTTCCTTCTCTACTGGCAGTTAGCGAAAACTTCGAGATAAACCTTGTTTCATAGCAAGTACTTACCTACCGCGCGACAGGATTTTATTCATGAAACGGATAAAAGATAATGGTGTGTTAAATTGCATTCGGTATTAACAGGCGAGCAGTCGATCGAGTGAATATTCATTCCGGTTAGTAGTCGGACGAACGAAAATTTATTCGAGCAAGAATTTCTCACGAAATGTCACGGCAAATATTTGTTCCATTCAGGATTTATTTCGTTCATTTTTTTATTCGCAGCTGTTCAGTTTTCGGTTCAGAGTTATTTGCGTCGTTATTGGAATAAATAAGAATGGATTGTTTGAATGTGCCTACGCGGAAATTATTATTTGGGTGGAATATTCTCTGAAACTAGTGCAGAAATGAAATCTAAATTGTTCATTTTGAGGCGAACAATTTAGAGAATTTCTTTTCTGCAGCTCCTAGTTTCAGAGGTACTGTAAAAAGTATATTTTCAACCCCCAACTTTGAGGAGTGGTTTCAACTTTTAAAAGTGTATGTTGGGTGATAAGAAAAATACGTGTAAAATATTTTCTTGAGAACTGTGTCTCACGTAAGTTTCATTAAAATCAGTGTGTGAAGATCGGAAAGGTTCCCTTGTATGTAAAAATGAAAGAAGTATCTTTTATATAGATGTCCTTTAAACAATAATTTGAAAACAGATGTTATGTGTTTCGAAGACAAAAATTTCTTTGTTAATCACGTACAAAGAATATCAATAATTTTGCATCGATCCAATAAAACATTATGTGTACCACAATTACTTCGGAATGTAAATGTAAATTAGTTCTACTTGGATGATGCATTTTGTTACTTCCTTCCGGCAATTAGATTAAATTGTATGCAGCTTTGAGCAGGCGCTTAATTGATGCTAACTTTTAGCAGAAATTTCATCGTGGTATCGAGATAACAAACTCTGATGAAGAGTTCAGTGGTGGAAATTACGTAAACTCGTTGACAGGGTGTCAAAGTCTTATTGGATTTTGGTTGTTAAAGGGGATGAAACGCGGTAAGGCCGTCAGCGGAGAATTTTACGTAACGTTCTTTGACAATTTTGCACAATAAAATACATAGCGATAAGATTAATATTATCACGATTATTTGTTACTTACTTTCAAATACAAACATTTAATAATCTACAGTATAAATTTTATCAGATTATCAGAAACCATAACGAAGTACTTTTAATTTTTTAATTCGGTCAATTAAAACTTTTAACCATTTATTATAAGTCTAATGCAATATTTTTTGTTGAGAAGAAATCACAGGAAATGTTACATAAATCAAATTTTCATGTTAGTAAATGTTACATTACATAAAAAGGCAGATTATAATATGTACATAGTGACTTACAAATTTGTTCATGAGGATTATTACTCATTATATTTATTGTTATTAAGCATAGAAAAATCTCAAATTTTGTATTGAAGTTATTAAAATAATATTAAATGCTAAAATTAAACATAATGAAAATGAAATAATAGAAATGATATAATATTTTTAATACTGGATTGTTATTTCAAAAATACTTAGATGTCTAAATTTAAACCGTGAAGAGAAATTGAATTTTTCACGGAAATGAAAACGAAAATTCCATGAAAATTCACCAAATGTCATTTTAAATACCCGCAAACGTCTGGAATGTACAAATTCGATTCGAAAATCGTAGAATGTGTATACAAATCATTTACGGTTGCAACGTCAGGAACAATATACTATTATCAGATTAATCTAATCGGATCAGTTCACCAATGTACTCGCATTTATCGCTCGAAACAACACAAAGTGTTCGACCAAAACCGGAAGCAACTCCATTGAACAGTCTTGCTGTATAAATGCTCGCGAAATTTGAAGAATCAGATGTCGAAATGAATTTTACGTTTTATAGTCCATATGAATAATGAGGAGAAATAATAATAGTCTGTGTAACCTTTTTATTTTCATTTTCGATCTTAAAAATTTTTTTTTCCTCTTAAAAATTCACTTCTTGGTTTATCAGAGTAGTTTCTTTATAAATAATAAATAATTCGTCTGTTACGTTTCAAACTTAATTTGTTCCAAAGTATCAAATTGACAAACAGTTAAAAAATCAGTCTAAAGAGAAAAGTAGTAAATAAATTCAGAAATTCTTTTATAGAAAATAAATATACGTAACAGTAATAAAATATGTGAAAAAGAATTTTAAAAGACCTGTTCTCTTTTTAGAATAAATGACGTTTGTATTTTTAATTCTTTTCACTAGTATATCTGTGACTACGAAATTAAATGAACACAAATCACATTTTTGAAAAGTTCAAAATATCCAAGTCAATATTTAGCATATTTGCAAAATGAAATCATTTAGTAATTTAAATTTTACAGTTTATAATAATTTTTAATTATTACTACAAATCAACGACGTTCAAACGAAACATTTAACTCATTCTGAATCCAATAAAACTCCAATTAAAACATATTAATATATTGCTTCAATTCTTGCTTTCCGCGAACTGTTTTATAAACACGGAAAGTATTCATATACCTTCGCAGTGTAAATAAAAATATTCTCAGCTACCATATAAGCAGTTATATTAAAACAGAATTAATAAAAACTATGATTTTCCTGCACTTTTATAAAATAAGCTTCAAACAACCCTTTCTCGAAAACGTCTACAATTTTGCTTAATAAAATACATTCAGATAGTATTAATAATATCACGATTTTTTATTAATTACGTTCAAATACAAACAATTAATAATTTACAATATAAATTAACTAACATCACACCTTTCGAATTAATTGCATAGAATGAATATTTATTATTTACTATCAGAAACCATAAACAACCTAAAATCAGTAAGTTACAAAGTAAATTCATTAATATTATATCATTACATTTGCATACAATAAACGCCTACCTTTTATTATCACAAACCATTAACTACCTAAAATTATTAAACCGAAACTTCAATTCTCTAACATTATTCCAACATATTTGATTACATGTAATCAACATCTACATACACATTTATGATCAAAACTCATTAACTAAAATCAGTAAACCACATTGGAAATCCACTATTACCATGAGTTTGCATTTTATAGTTCAAAACGTTGCTATTAACAACAATCGAACTCGTGAATTCCAAAACAGCACAAGTCCATTTTTTAACGTTATCCATAAAATTTAACATTATTGAACATTATTCATCCTATGAGTTATCAACGTAAGCATCTCAGTTTACTCAGACCTATTTAACATTATATGCGTTTATAAACATTTATTGTACAGTTTATTCTATTGTTAATAAAAAAATTGATGTTCATTTATTCAAAGTTTGAAAATTAGGGGACTGATAGTAGATAAGTGGCCTGCGTATCCGTACGATTGCATCAATCAAAACCGACGTAAACATTTACAAAATAATATTTAGTGATAATAATATTCAAAATGTACACGTAATGAGAATGAAGCCGTAGCCAATACTTGCAGTAAGAATCAACAAAACTGATAACGAATGAGTAGATAAAAATGAAACGACAGAGAGCGGGAAAATAATTGTACAATAATCTTAGTAATTTTATTAAATTTCACTAAATAATATCTTCAATAATTTGACGAAATTCAACTGAATGATAATCCTTAGTAATTTTTATAAAAATTCATTATATTCATCAACTGCAACATACCAAACGCAAATAAGAAAATAATACAAGAACTCCTGTTACAAAATAAAAGAAAAATTGATTTTCTCGAAATATTAATCTAACAAGGGAAGTTAACCCAAAAATTCAAAAAATTATGAAACGTTGCGTGTAAATAGGGTAAATCAAGCCTAATACATAGCAATTTTTTTGTGCCGAATTTCACTTCGAATAGGTGATACCACCCCTTAAAAAAAATTCTTCTCTTTCCCGTGGATTACCTTGAGAACAGTAAGAGATAGTGAAAAAAAAGTTTAAACAAAGAATATATTATTCTTTCTCGTCTATAAAACTGCAAAATAATAATATCAATAAATTCAAACTTTTCGAAAAATTTTGTTTTGCAATTTTACAGACATGAAATAACAATGTATCTCTATTTAAATTTTTATTCGCCACCTCTTACCGTTCCCAAGATAAATCCACGGGAAAGAAGAACTTGCATTTTCTTCAAGGGGTAACTTCACCCCTTCAAAGTGAAATTCGGCATGAAAAAAATAGCAGTGTATTAGACTTGACTCACTCTACTCACACGCAGTTTCTTAATTGTTTGAATTTCTGTGTTAACTTCCCTTTCAACTCGATTCGTGCAATTTTGGAATTTGTGGCTTCAGTTTCATTCACCTTGGTATTAGCTTGTCCTCGAGCATGCTGGGCAGATCGTTCGAGTTTTCGTTGAGGGCTGCGAAGAAGTCTTGAAACCTGTCGGGGAAGTTGCTCAGCGGGCAGCTGTTCACGGACACTCGATCAAGAAGCTCCGCAGAATTTTTCTCGACGGCTTCATTATCTCCCGTCGGGGCCGACGTTTCCATACAGTACAACGGCGGCTGTGAATCCCGTTCAAGATCGCTTTAACCGCGGGGGAGGTGTTGCTTTTCTCGAGTCAACTTTTGCGGCCTCACTGTTCGGCGCCCCATTCAAGCGCCCAGCGACTCACCACACAATCTCAACAATCCCTTCCTGCTCTGCGGAACGTCCGACCGGAAACCGCACAAGCCGTCTCGTTTATCCAAAGAAAATAAACTAGAAATAAGCTCTATCGAGATTTCGATCACTAAACTCTAATTTGTATCAATTCATCGCACTACTGAACAATGTTTAGTTTAACAATGTGAAAAAGCACGTTGCGATATGCGATCTTCAAGCTTCAATTTATTAATTTGCGTAAATTTTCTGTTTCGATGGAATTTTTAGTTCCGTAGAGTCTTTAGTTCTGTAGAATATTTATTTCTGTAGAATCTTTGTTTCGATGGAATTTTTAGTTTCGCAGAGTTTTTACCTCTGTAGAATATTTATTTCTGTAGAATCTTTGTTTCTATTGAATCTTTAACTTCGCAGAGTTTTTACTTCTCTACAATAATTATTTCAGTAGAATCCTTAGTTCTATAAAATATTTATTTCAGTAGAATCTTTATCTCAGTAGAATGTTTCCGCAGAACCCCGTTTCCGTAGACCCTATGTTTCACAGAACCTTCATTTCCATAGAATGTCTTTCTACAAATCAGTCACAAGATCAAAGACACGTGACCCGGCACCAAGTCCCAAATACAAAGTTCTCCCAATCTGCACAGAGAAATCAGCAAGAGTTCCCGCCGCGCGAGAATAGAGAATCGCGTAACAATGGCGATCGGTTGACGCGAGATCACGGGATCGCGGCGCGTCGTTTTTTCCCGACGAGGCCCTGGAGAAAACTGAAGCTCGCATGGTTGTTGCGCTCGTCGTTCTAGCCCCGCTTCACGCGCGCCCGGCTTGCGCAAGCGTGACTCACCCCCGAAAGCTTCCCCGAATCGCCGGATACGCGATAACTCGGTGAAAGTGACCACCGTCTCCCTTGCCCCCCCGTTGCAAGCTTGCCAGCTATAGCGAGCATCTCCTTCTTCTTCTTCGTCTTCTTCCTCTCTATACGTGTTCCTGCCTGCAATCGTCACGCGCCTCTCTAAAATTGAAAGGGAACGGGCGTCGAGCACACTTCTCGGAGCCAGCACCCTTAGAGGGTCATTTGGCGAGGGAGCCGTCTCGCGATGACACGAAACGACGTCGGCGAACAGACTTCCGGAATAGAGTTTCCGTAAATAGACTCGAACCGTCATGTTCACTTGTAGTCTCCTTCCTTCTTTCCTCTTTTCTGCGGTTCTTTTCGGTGTCTTTTCTCTTTCCTCCGTTTCTTTTCGGCATCTTTCCTGATTCTTCCTTTTGTTTTCGGTGTCTTTCCTCTCTCTTTCGTTTCTTTTCGGTGTCTTCATCGTTTCTCCCGTTTCTTTTCCGTTTCTTTATCATTTCTATATAATTAGAGATTCAAACCATGTTCATAAAGAGATAAAAACTGACACGAAACATTGTCTCAAATATAATAATATTAAATATTCAACATTTTCTTGATCACGCAGAATTTCTCGAATGCCTGAAACAAGTTTCGACTTGTTAGTTTTGTTGTTGGACGTATAACGAAACCCCGATTTAATTAAGAATTCTCGAGCAGCGAGAGGCAACATTCTCTTGATATTTTAATCGCGTTATGTTAATAGTATAAAACGCCTCGAATCATTTGAATAGCGGCAAGGAGGCACGCGATGTCCTTTTTGTCTTCACCTTTGTCATCTGTTCCTATTAATGGCGGCACCACCTAAAGAGGTCTGACATATTGGTAAACTTTAAGAATTTTTTTGTGAATATAACGAATAACTGCGTCATTTTGTAACAATTTGTCTTTGGAGAAATATAAATATAAAGCAGGTCACAGTTATACACCTAGAAAAAATCAAAAACTTTAACTTAATAGATATCAACAAAAAAATTCCTAAAGTTTGCCTATATTTAGGACGTCTCTAGGTGGTGTCCTCCCTTAAAACACCATCTTCGCTCGTTTTCTCGCGGATCAACGAAAACTCGTTCGAATGGGTAAGAAGCTCGCCAGCGAGAAGAAAGGAGCGACCCGTGATAAATTGCGTATCCATAAAAATCTCCGACTTATTTTCCCTCTCCTTGCTCGTCTGTTCGCGGTCCCGGTCCAAACGGTGACCGAAGAAAAATATAAATTGGCGTCCGGTGTGGCGTGACAGAAAGAAATGGACGGGAAATTGGAATTTATCGCAACCGTGACCACGCGGCGCGCGCGGCGATAGGATCTTATAATAATTGCGACGTTCCCGTGAAATTTCCGCCATCCGTGTTTACGCGCACGGGAATCTGCTGAACGAACGATGCCACGAATAACGGCTGTCACGCTATGAGGATTATAAAATTAGAGACGGCGAGGCTTTCCACTGACGCAGCTGTGAATTACGGTTTTCCTTTTATTGTCATTCGGCGTGCTGGGAATTGTGATGTCGTTAAGTTATTATCTATACTATAATTTATAGTATGATAATAATGATAATAATAATAATATATTTATAATATTATATGTACTATAATAATTATAATATACAATATTATATATTATATATGTGCCGCTTATTAGTCAAAGTAACTCCATTTTTTAATTCTTTCAAATTTTATCATGAACGCTCTTCATGGGCTCTGAACATGTAATATTTAAAATAAATTTTATTAGTTACAAACTAAATGGAATTTTACAATAACACGTGATTAACGGAAAGAATATTTTTCAATTTTTCAGTGATCGAGGTTTACGATAAGCCTTCGTTTTCTGAGCACTTTCCATTCGTGTGACAAAACTGAATCTATGACCAAAGGATTTCTTTTTATGTTTCCTGTTAATGGAGCGCTATGTTTTAAATTGTACGGTTTTATGGGCAATGCGACAGCGTTGCGCGACATATCTATGGTCAGTTGATGAAACGCGATGTTCGCGGTGTTTTTAATTGTACAGAACAGTTATTTTAGTGTTGCCTGGAAAAGCGATCTGTGAAAAATGATAACGTTTTTGAAAATATAAATTCATTATTATTGAGCAAAGAGTGAAGGGTGGTTATAAAAAGAGGTTCTTAATTGAGGTTCTGTGAATATTTAATCTCTACATTTTATTTAAGTACACACACAAGAGGTATATTCCAATATTGGTGATGTAATTCACGAACAGAAAATGAAAAATACTTTTATTTTTTAATTTACAATATCATTTGTATCTATAATACATACATGTGTTAGTGACACTTGCAATATAAATTCTCCAAAAGTCTATTTATCAAAAGGAGAACAGTGTCCAATAAATATAGATCTCCCCTGTGTGTCTTAAATCATTCCTTTGTCCAGTTCTTTTTTCAAAGTGTAATACCCCAAATAAAGGGGTGTCCTACTACAAAGGGATTGATTTATGGATCCGTGCCTTCTAATCGTTATCATTTTTTGACGTTAAAACACGTATCTAAAAGGTAGCGAGAAATACTTTTCTTTTCGTCCCCCGCACAAATATTTTTGTAAAACTTCACTTTGGCAATTCACAAAAAAAATGTACCCTTACAAAAAGAGTTCAGAGCATCAGATTTTACTTTTTAAAATTATTTGATATCGATACTACATCACCATTTTTTATTTTGAAATAAGTACTAATATTCAATGTTCAAATGCTATTCGAATTTATTGATATTCAAAATAAAAAGAAATTTATTCAATTCATGTTCTTAATAATCATTTCTATAATAGAATATTTTAACGAAGTATATGTGTTGATAGAATTATTTCGTAAAAAGTAATTATTATTATTTGTTTCAAAAAATAATGTTCAAAGATTTATTTAATTTGCAACAGATACGGGGTATAATAGATTATTAATATTGTTACGAATTTAACGAGTAATTTGTAACGAACAGCCTATGACCTGAATTCAGGAGTACAATGCAAACATTTATTTGCAATAGTTAAATCAGTTGCCATATGGCATTTAATGCCGCGTGTTTCATTATGCAACGTCAAATAATGATAATGATAATGTGATAAAAGTTAATCTGATGCGACGACACGAGTGGCACGGTTTCAAAGAAAAATGGTTGTGTGCTACGTAGGACTAATTCGTCATCACTTATTTGATTTATTTTCCTGGAAGGCCCTTTTCCTTAATTTACGGTGAATGTTTTTGGTTTCCACGTAAAAATGACAAAAATCTTCACTTTCATTTAACACGTTACCTGCCACTAAAATTTCGAACGTTTTGTATATTACTTATTCTTTCGTAACAAAGGTAAACGGTATTAGAATGAATTATTAACCCTTTGTACTTCGAACATTTTCAATAACTTAATAGTTAATTTCTATAAATTTTCAAGAACCCAAAATTGCGTTTCGAGAGAGAAGAATTAAAAATATTCATGTATTATTATCTTTTAATTTCTTTGGTCAATTTGTTTTATTTGCTAATTGACCAAATCGATTAACTCCACTTTTTGGAGTTTTCAAAATTTTATCGTTAAAACGTTTCATTGACTCTTGACTTTTCATATTTGATATAAATTTCCTTATTATTAGGCGTGACACCACGAAATAACAAAAATTCTATTGCCAGTGCAAAATTTGTAGTAATAACAAAAATTACTTCAAAATTATACTACTATATACATTTTACATATTTTTCAGATTAAAGCTACACCTGATCATGAAGTAAAATAGATTCTATAATAAGCATTATATTTAATGATTTAACGTTCTATTTAAGTTCTTTGCTGTACTTTTTGTTCCGTGGAGTTAACCGATTTGGCTAATGAGTGGTTCGCATATCAATCGCCATGAAATACTAGGCGGTTCTAGTGTTAATTTCATTTCCGTTCACTTACACTTCGAGTCAAATGAAATTCTTGATTTTAAATGTGCATCTCCCCATTGCGTATGCAACATGGTGAACGACGCGGAGGATGTCATCCGAAAGTTTACAAACAACCATGAGCCGCTTTCCAACTCCTAACATTAATTAACTAACTAACACGTCTCCGCTGTCTAAACACGAGATACATTATTAGATTGCGTCTCAGTTCTCCTCTCCTATTTCGAGAACGACAAAAACAATTTCGCTGTAAAACACCGGACGGATACATCGTGAAGTGCAAATTCAGAATAAAGTTATAAATTGTCAGCGCAAACTATGAAATCAGTACACAGATGGAACTCACAATATAAACATCAGTCGTTATAACAATTATAACATTTCAATGGGTATTAATCTTGAAATATCCTGTTATTTTTTAAATAAAAATACAGAAAAGGATTAAGATTAAGATTAAATGAAAAATTAAAATTTATAGTATAATGATTAATGAGGATAGTATTTAGAATATTTTAGTTAATAATTCGGTTGATTTTATATTGACCTCTGAATAATTCTATTCCCATTCACTTAAAATCTCTCAATTTAAAGGATAACTACAATTTAACATTAGAACATTAGAATAATTTAACAGTAACTATTATAAAAATAATAGATCTTTTTAAGTTTCTACAGATATTCGTTATAGCGTGCAAGTGAAACTATTAGGTTGTAAAATAGTTTCAGATATTCACTTTAATTCTTGTATGACATTAATGATTGCAAGATAAAAAACTAAGACCTGTTATTTTAACTGATTTAAATCATATTGATTAAATAAACTTAAACGATTAAATAACGCAAATCCTTCTTAAACGTTCTGTAATTTTAATAAAATCAAACGTTTCTACGTTTTTATATTGTAGTGTTAATTACGCAAAATTTTTGTACAAACCTAAAAGATTACGCGTTATTCAACAGCTAACGTCTGAAACCATCAGCTAATTATCC